CGAGAAGCAAAATTAGGTGAATTCATGATGTTGTGTAGGCTAGAATTCTTGAATAGGCCATTCTATAGTAGAAGTATATTCAACTATGCCTGTACATGAAGCACATTCACTACAGATTTAGATGATACTTTATAGAAACCTCCATATTTTATTTTAAAGTGATTAATGTCTTCTTATATCACATTTCATTGAGACCTCTTGACTCCTCTTGTGATGTGATTGCCGGTGGAAGAAAGACAATATGAACCGGTAAAACGCTATGATTGGCTATTTCTAGAAGACAATTTCGTTGGTATAACCTCCAGACAGGCACACATGCACAATACGCATATGTTTTAAAAAATGTCTGTCTACGAAAGCCAGTAAATCAGGTCGCCTCGCTGAAAACAGCCTCCCACGGTACTGGTACTGCTTGCGAAACCGTCTCACAACTGAATTATCACTAGGCCAGACACGGAAACAGGACACTTCACAACCCACAGGAAGGTTGGATCGCGATAGCCGTCCTTGGGATGTCCTTAGTCCGGTTTGGCGTCTCTCCGGTAGCAGATTTCCTCTGCTCCTCCGACCCACCCGTCCGGTTACACGCCCGTTCAACAACTACATCTTCACTGGCACCAAGTCACCTCAGATCACAACACACCATATCACATCACACCACACCACGCCACACCACGCGACATCGCATCACATATCATCCAGCCAAATTGCCCCAATCAGCAGGGGTGGGATTGTGTGGATCAGATAGACGCCCCGGCGGGTTGGCTGAAAGTAATACTGTACTGGTTCCAATTAAAAAGATGCCACACGTTGTTTGTTTGCACACGGCTGTAACAGCCGACTGTTTTCATCATCAGTTTCCCCCACCTACTAAATCTGATACACCCCTTTGCCACCGAAGAGGCCACAAAATGCTCACACTATTTGCAGAAAGGTATGCAGCATAGATGCGAGACCACATTTTTGCTGTCTTTCTTTACCATCCCAAGATTGACATTTTAGGTATATACTACTCGTTTAGACAAAAGTATCCGTCACTTTGTATAACCTGGCTTATCCAGACAGAGGACAGCATTAAAATTGTGTTGACTATAAACGAAGAAGTTGAGAAAACTAGATTTTGAAAGTGATAAATTACAAGAAAATAAAAAATAATAAATTTATAAAACAATAAGTAGACTTGATAGGGCATTTTTTAACTTAATACTTCGGTTATTGGCCTAATACTACGATTCAGTTACACAAAGTGGATACGAAGAACAACTGGGTTTGATGAAACCTCGAAAATAACATTGTTGTGGAGACTTTTATTTGGTATGAAAGTACATAAAGAAGCGATCTCACCAGAGGAGGACAGCTGAATCCCGATGTATGTAGTCTTGGTCGAGGCCGTTTCTGTAATCATTGAACCTTTATGATCGGAGCTTGACATTAGCCTTTTGATAATTCTCATTTAGGATCAGCGTTGCGTATACACGTCGACATACACACAAACACACACGCAAACATTCAAACAAAAGTATCAGGGCCAATATGAAAGATAATTAGCCAAAGCATTTTATATGTATTTAAGTCTTTAAATTTTCTTTTGCTCAATTGAGTCTGTATAAGAGGTAAGATATAGTCGGATAATCTTCTTAATCGAGTGTTAACGTGAGACTTTAATAAGAATCGCTCCTTAATGCATTTTGATACGAAATTAAATTCTCCTTAACAGTCAGCGCAAATCTGATCTGAGGCTTAGGCCTCGAGAAAGCTTCCATGAACCATGAACAGGAGACCAGTACTGCTTAATAATTTGGTAACTCTAAAAACTAGTCCTTGAATATGGAATACTCTCCTAAATCGCTGCTGGGGGCTAAACAATAGCATAGCCGGACTATTTAAAGGTTCGCATTTGAATATACCATTCACGAAGATGGTTTGTTGACTTAAGAATTAATGGAAGCCTAGAAAACTAATCCCAAACAAAGTTGCAGCAAATAAAAAACCAGCAATAAACGCATAAATCATGAATTGAACTCAACATTTTTTAAGGTATTAGAATGCATACTGGAGCTGAAAGTCTGCCGAGATGCAGTGCGATGTGTAGCAGAAATATTTGCAAACATTTTTGCACCATATACGCTAAAGGAAAGTGTGTAATTAGTCAAAAACTTCCCGGGGACATACATAATATTTCGGCCGTATGGTTTCAAAGTGAACCTGATACATATTCAATATCACTAGTTGCACTGTACGAAGGTGCTGTTGTATAGGTCTGCAGACATCTTCAATTGTCATTTATTCTCAATTTGAGACGGACGGCCTTAACTAGAATTAAATTTGGATCAAGTGTGACCATAAGGGCAGCCTGTGGTATCAATTGTTTATTTTTGTGAAATCATTAAAAATATCTTTCAGCAATGGAAAGTCAACAAAGCCTCGGTTAGCCAATGTTGGAAGGCATTATTATAATGCTACCGGTTGGTCTGCAGATTTATAAAATGTATTCATTGAAGACAAATCCAGTCTATTTATATCCTATTAGAAATAGTAATAATATGTCTAAAAGTGAAAAAAGTGCTATAGTTACACATTACTTAAATCTGACTTTTTTTCAGGTGGGGCCAGAGGACAATATTTAAGAAATCCATTGCTCATCTGCAATTTGGTTCCGTTTTAAGAAATTTTATAGCATCAGAATTGTTTAATTTGTGTTATATGTTGATAAAATCCTTTACTGACATTTAATTTGAGGGTTTCGACCAAGTAATTTCATCTTATTTTGATGTCTAGCAATATCTATTCATTTATTTTTTCATAAAAAGTATTTCAGGATAACATTAGATTGTATATATGTTACACATTCACCCTATTGCATTAAAGTTGAAGAAGAACTGACGGTTGAATTTT